CTGCATGTATGTCTGCGCACTATGTGCATGCCTGGTACCTACAGAGGCTAGAAGAGGGCCTCTACAAGAGCAGCCAGTGCTTCTAACTGCTGAGCCCTCTCTCCAGCCCCCGTAATATAATTCTGAACCTTTCAGTATCCTGACTCAGAGGGATTGTAGTGACATACATACTATTTTTTTTTTTTAATTAAAAAAGAATACTGAAAAAAAAAGAAAAGAAAGGAATACTGTTAGGGCTGGGTGCACAGCTTTAACCACAGCATTTGGGAGGCAGAGGCAATCAATCTCTTTGAATTCAGGGTCAGCTTGGTCTACAGAGTTCCAAGCCAGTCAAGGCTACATAGCTACATAGTGAGACCCTGTTGCAAAAAAACAACCCCCCACTTCTCTCTCTCAGAGGAACCAGGGATGAGGCTCAGTACTTGAGTGCTTGCTTAGCATGCATAAGATGTTAGGTTCAATCCCCAACCCAAAACAAAATAAAACATGAACCAACACCTTAGGTCCAATGCTCAGAGTCAAGTCTGGCTTCCTAGAAGCAGTCCAATTAGTATTAATATTGAATGTGGCATTCTGTCTGTGGCCACAAAGTGTAGGCCTGGTTTGCCTAACTGAGTGAGACAGGAGAGTTTGTAGCATTTGGAACAGTTCACCCCACTCCTGGGGTCTCATCTACAGGTTCTGAAACACAGCATTGAACTTGGACAGCCACAGTTCACCTGTCAGCACTGCTGCTGGGAGGCATGCATGCAGAACCTGGGCTGAGGACTGTGCCCAGGCCTTGGGCACTCTCGTGTCTTCACTCCTGGAGCAGGGCCATTGAGATCAGGCTTCTCACTGTCTTCTTTATTGGTAGGTTACCCCAAAGGCCACCCTGAGGCAGAGAGCTTTGAGGATGACCTGAAACACTTGAAGGAGAAGGTGTCTGCAGGCGCTGACTTCATCATCACCCAGCTCTTCTTTGAGGCCAGCACCTTCTTCCATTTTGTGAAGGCCTGCACAGAAATAGGCATCTCCTGCCCTATCCTGCCTGGGATCTTTCCTATACAGGTGAGGAGCTCAGGAGAGCCTGGTTCCCTCACTCCAGTACACTGACCTGTGTGGATGGAGTTTTCCGGTCCAACTGCCTGCTCCCAAATAACCAACCGGAATCTTAATTTTACTTACAAATGCTCAGTCAATAACTCAGACATATTAATAACTAAAATTATTTACAACTTAAATTAACCCATTTCTGTTTATCTGTGTGCTACCCAAGGCTTGTGACATTTACCTCTCCAGCATGTCTTGCTTACTCTTTATCTGGCTGACGACTCCTCTGACTCCGCCCTTCTTCCTTCCAGAATTTTCTGTGTCAGGCTGTCTCGCCCAATCTTTTCCTGCCCAGCTATTGGTCAATCAGCTTTTTATTAACAATGAGAGCAATACATATTTACAGTATACAAAGATTGTTCCATAGCAGTCCTGCCCTATCCTGCCTGGGATCTTTCCTATACAGGTGAGGAGCTCAGGAGAGCCTGGTTCCCTCACTCCAGTACACTGTCCTGGTGTGGGTGGAGTTTTCCGGTCCGACTGCCTGCTCCCAAATAACCAACCGGAATCTTAATATTACTTACAAATGCTCAGTCAATAACTCAGACATATTAATAACTAAAATTATTTGCAACTTAAATTAACCCATTTCTGTTCATCTGTGTGCTACCCAAGGCTTGTGACATTTACCTCTCCAGCATGTCTTGCTTACTCTTTGTCTGGCTGACGACTCCTCTGACTCTGCCCTTCTTCCTTCCAGAATTTTCTGTCAGGCTGTCTCGCCCAATCTTTTCCTGCCCAGCTATTGGTCAATCAGCTTTTTATTAACAATGAGAGCAATACATATTTACAGTGTAGAAAGATTGTTCCATAGCATTTCCCCCTTTTTGTCTAATTAAAAAGGAAGGTTTTAACTTTAACAGTAAAATTATATACAACAAAAACAGTTATCAAGTAAAAATTACTGTTACAATATCTAGTCTATATGTATTTGGCAAAATCAGAGAAAATATTCTATTATCTATCTTTTCTTTGTGAGTCTAAAGTTTTATACCTAATTTGCTTTTTATTATAACTAAGGAAAATTGTAAGTTTAACTATTTAGTCTTTAACTCCATCAAAGATCCCTGAAGGATGAAATGTTACCCAATGACAGGGACATCATGCTGCCCGGACAGTCACTCAAAGTGCCTCTAGGCCCAGTATATCTGACAGACATTTCTGAGAAGCGGGGAAAAATTTTTTTTTCTTTTTTTCTTTTTTTTTTTTTGGTTTTTTGGTTTTTTGGTTTTTCAAGAAAGGGTTTCTCTGTGTAGCTTTGTGCCTTTCCTGGAACTCTGTAGCCCAGGCTGGCCTTGCATTCACAGAGATCCGCCTGCCTCTGCCTCCCAAGTGCTGGGATTAAAGGCATGTGCCACCACCGCCCAGTGGAAGCAGGGAATTCTAAAGGACTGTCCCACCTTGTCTTGGCAAGTTTGGCAGTTGCCTTTCTTGTGTCCTGCTGGTCGTTTGGACAGTAATTGTCATCAATTGAGGCAAGGGCAGTTTTTTTGCCCAAATGGCTAGCTTTTGCCATGAAGAAAGCAAACTCCGTATGGAGGTTCTTTAAGGCCCATCATCTTACTTTGAAGTAAATTGGTGCTACCAGGAGCAGACGTGTCTCATTGTCATGAAAAGCCTTAGGTTATTAAAACATTTTAAATGCTATATCTATAGATCTTTGATGTATTTGAAGACCATTTATCTAAATATATCTGCTTATGACCTTGAAAACATACCTGACATGACTATAAGTTTGACTATTATAGATGACTATTAATCTGTATTTCTTAATTATACATAACATTTTAAAATGAATTGCATAAGCACAATACACCAGAATAGAAGCATATATATAGTATAACAAAATTAACTTTAAATTTGTATCAATAAACCAAAATCCATGCCAATATAAAATATTTTGAAGCCGGGTGGTGGCACATGCCTTTAATCCCAGCACTCAGGAGGCAGAGGCAGGGAGATCTCTGTGAGTTCAAGGCCAGCCTGGGCTACAGAGTGAGTAGATTCAATAATCTATCCTTTTATTTCATCATTTCTATATTGTATCCCCCTTTTTTCTTTCAGAAAGAGATCTTTGAATTTAACTCCTTTGTTTAGTTTTTTTTTCTTGACCATTATCAATAATAACTTGTAATCAATCCCCCTTAAATAATAACATCCATAATCAATATTTTTGGGAATCTGGGTGTCATTCTCTAGACTACTTGTTGTTGGGGGCACTGACATCTTTTGGGGAAAACTGAAGAAAATCAGGATAATTGTTAAATCTTGGCTAGAGTAGTCTGTGAGGGTGGATCATCTCAGCCAGCACCCCTCCTTGAAGTTGTTTTGGATGCAGAACTCACAAATTGAAACAAAGGCATTCTGAGATGTTGGATCATCTGGGCCATCTGTCTTTATTGATGTCTGGTCCCCTTGCTCTGAAAATACATAAACTTTTAAAGGTAACACACATATTCTATATATGCATTAATACAACTATAGACGGTACATTGTACATAGGTTAGCCAAAGATGATATTTTGTTATGTATTTAAGCAGGTAAAGTATATATCACGTGTCTTGTAGTTCTTCTAGGTTTATTTCTTTATGTCTATAGTCAGGATTTCAGGGGGTCTTCCTCAATCAAAGCTGATCATCTTTAACCTGGAATGAATCCACAGCCTCCCATTTCCTGTGGAAATAAAAGCAAAACCTCTTCCCCAAAGTAGAATTTTTTTTTACTTCTTATTTAAAGTCAAGACATTTTTTTAAATATGTATGTTGGTTTAATCCAGCAGTTTTGTTTTGTTTTGTTGGTTTTTCAAGACAGGGTTTCTCTGTGTAGCTTTGGAACATGTCCTGGATCTCACTCTGTAACTCGGGCTGGCCTCGAACTCACAGAGATCCGCCTGCCTCTGCCTCCCGAGTGCTGGGATCAAAGGCGTGCGCCACCACCGCCTGGCACTTTTTAAGGACTTTTAAGGATTATTTTAAAACTATATTTTTTAATCTATGACCATATAACTCTTTATTTTCTCTCTCCCAAGCCTATGTATATTTTTAAACTCACTGTAACCCATTTAGAGGTTCTATTTTTTCTGTCTGGATCTGTCCTTACCATATATCTGTAACCTTTTCTATCAGCATGAGCAAAACCCCAAACCCTCCATGCAGCATGCTGGCAGCTTGTGCTGGCAGCTCAAGTCCGAAGGCAGTGGCCAAGAGATGTCTCTCTGCACCTCGGCCCATGTGAGAGACTGCAGGAACCCTGCATGCAGTGTAGCTCATAGCATGTTGGCAGCTTCCAGGACATACATCTCTGTACTGTGGCTGGTATGAGGGACATGAGACTAGGAAGCCATGCTTGGCTTCATTTTCTGTGTTTAGAATCTTTTTTTTTTTTTTTAAGATTTATTTATTTATTATGTATACAGTGTTCTGACTGCATGTATCCCTGCAGGCCAGAAGAGGGCACCAGATCTCACTTCAGATGGTTGTGAGCCACCATGTGGTTGCTGGGAATTGAACTCAGGTCCTCTGGAAGGACAAGCAGTGCTCTTAACCTCTGAGCCATCTCTCCAGCCCTTAGAATCTTTTTTAAGCTTTCTCAGGTCGTATGTGGAAATTCTGGCCCCACACAGGAACACCATTTGTTGGTGGGAGTTTTTTTTTCCACCCATCAGTTCCCAAATAATGGACATGGAGACTCAATATTAATTACAAATGCTCAGCTAATAGCTTAGGCTTATAACTAACTAGCTCTTACAAGTTAAGTTAACCCATTTCTACTAACCTATGTGCTGCCCCAAGGCTTGTGGCATTTACCT